TAGCAACAAATGGGATAAATAATTTCTCTGCCAGAATTGGAGCAAATTTAATTCTGTCTTTATAAATAACTTTTTATGCTGGTAGTTTTTTGTGAACCTTTCAATATTTAATTAAATCACACGGTTTCTGGATCTTTCTTTTGAATATGTTTTACTTATGTATTTATAACTTTTAAACACTTTTGTAAGTAGCTATAAATCATTGGAAAAAAAAGAGAAAAATTGTTTTATTTCTACAATGCAGATAAGAAACATCTAAGAAAGAGACCTCAGATTGCTTATTCAACATCAAGAGTTATCATTGCCAGGGATATTTCACATTATTATAGAAGAAGGATTTGTTATTGGGAAGCTGTAAACTAGATCTGAGCTCTTTATATTCTGAAAGGAGTAGAGCAGGACAGCTTTTGCTGAGGTGAACCTGAATGTTGTCAGACAGTTGCAGATCTCCCAGGTAACATTTCCTTAAGTGGAGTTTTTAAGAATGACTAAAATTTGTTCTCCTCCAAGCAGGGTGTTTACTTTCTGTGTCCAGTGTTCTCCAGATAATGTGCAGTGCTGCACTTACCTTTTGAATCAAAAAACTTCCTTGAGTATTACTTTAGCCCGTGGGCTTTATTGATTTGAGATGTAAAAAAATTGTATGGCAGGACTTTGGTTATTATAACTAGATCTAAACAAGAAGGACTAACATCAGTTTTGACAACAAACAAAACCAGTTTTTGTTCTATCGGTTATGTTTAAGAGATTCCAATTTCAAACCAAACACAACTTGTGGTTATTCTGTCAGATATTTATATAGCCACTGGGGCGCCATAGTTATGCACCGCATACATCATTGTATTTTTAAAATGTACTTAATGAACATTTTTTCTTTTCTGGTAACTACTTCATTGCCTTAAATGAATGCATTCCAATAGAATTTGTAACAAATGAGCACTTTGTGTTTGCATTAATGCCAAACACGTTTAACAAATTTTTAACAAGGAACACTGGCAAAAAGCCAAACTCCTAGAGGGACACTGAAGGAATGCTATAAATTTAAACTAGATTTTACCTTTTCACTCTGCTCAACAAGTGTCTTAGGTGTCTTTGGCATCTCAGCATTGAAAATTTTCTATGTACCTTGGATACAAATTTGTGCCTTAATTATTTTTCTTCTTGGCCCTCCTCACAAGAGATTTCCATGTCGATATAACAGGCTTTAACAGGTTACTGTATTTAGAAAGTGAGAGGTGGGCTTTCTTTATTTCCTCAAGAGTTAGGCCAGGAGGAAGTAGCAAAACCAGTATTTATTGTTGGGGCTGTAATGGCAGGGAGGTTCAAACAGCACATATCATGCCATTGTCACATCCTGTGCTAAGGGACCTGTAACAGTGGCGAGCACTGCAGCAGATCTGTGCTACCCAATTTTGTTGCTTGTGCTGGGTTGCAAATATCTGGGCTGTGATGGTGTTTGCAACTGCACTTCAGGGGCAGGGGAAGGCAGCCCACAGTGCTCCTGCTGGCCCGAGCTCTGAGCTCACACAGAAGCCACGAACAGATTTTTGGCTGAATCAAACTTCTGGGGGGTTTTTCAGCTGTTAAGTTATGCCCACATGGTACATGTCAGTACAGACCTTGGGAATCACCTACTCTGTAATACACGTTCATATTAAAAGTGTTACAAGTAGCTCCACAAACCACATGCTTGCTCTTTACTTGTAACTTAATATATTAATTTAATTTTTACTGTGTTATTTCAGTTTTAATCAAATGCAGGAACTGAAAAATAATAATACTTAGCACTCATCCAAGACTCTTAAGGCACATTACAGACATTAAGTCTTGCAAATTCCTGTGAGGAGCCTGATGTTGTGCCTGCTGTAGCAAAGGGCAAGTTAAGCACAGAAAAATGATATGAACTGTTTCCTTGGTCCCACAATAGGCTGGTGGCAGGGACAGAATTTAGAGTGTCAGGGCTTTCTCTTAGTTAATTCTTTTCATGGTTTTGCACAAAGGTAAAAATTGAGAATGTTTTTTTTTCTCCTTCCTATAATTTACATTATGTTGTTGCAAGAGGCACAGGCAAATCCCAGGACATCACTTGAGAAAGACTTATGAGTTGTAGCCTTATTCCAGTCTAGTTACTTGTTTGCAGAAAATGAAATAATTTCCCATCATTTGTTGGTACTCTCATTGCAGTAATGATGAATGAGTCTGGAGAAGGAAACTGAGGAATTCATCCTGACAGCTTTTTCAAGGATGTCACATTATAATACAGAGGCCTTGTCGTAGATTAGGGAGCAGAAATAGCCCTCACAGGTTTTCATTAATGATATCCTTCTTTACTAACATTTGGTCAGATACCAGTTCCCTGCAATAAAGTGTCTATTCCCTCCCTTTCTTACTCACTAATTACCATATCAGTTGTTGGCCTTTTATGTAGGTACCATGTGTAACAGGTTAGGAGAGGGCAATTTAAGCCTATGTGAATGGGTATCTGTTTTTGTATCTGGGTGCTTGTTGCAAACATTTGGAAAGCATATGGAGCATAATGGACATTAACCCAGATGTCAAAAATAGCCTGCATTTTACTACTGTTATTAAACAGTTTCCCCTTTAACCCCTTTGTGTTTACCCACCCTCTCCAGCTTGTTTCTGCAAATCACTGCTGAGAGGAAAGGATTGGAGGTAAAAAGTACTAATCAGGCAGGTGTCTTTATCCAAAGGAAAAACAATCTGAACAAATATTTGTGGGCTACTACACTTTTATACCTTCACATCCTTCTGCTGTTTTCATTGACTGGTATCTAATGGACTGACAGAGGTGCCAAACTCATAAGACATTAATTTCAGCTGCAGCACTGCTGAATTCAGGCCCAATGCATGTTACCAAACTTTATTTCTGTTTTAGAGGTTCAGTGACTTTTACCAAGTACAGCATTGAAGAAACAAATATAAATTTAATTTACTCAACCTCAGTTGGTATTTGACAGCAATATCCTTTTATGTATTTATTTGACTTACTTGAGAAATACTTTGCATTTCCTACCTGTGGTGAACAAGTTTTTGTTACACTTCCAATACATATATGGTTTCCTGATGAATGGGTGGGTTGATTAAGTGGGTGAAGTTTATTTGGGGGCTTTCATTCTGTAGTAAAACCCCAATGAAAATCTGAGGAGCAGGCTGGAGAGGGAGTGCATTTTGTACTTTGCTGCTATTCCTCAGATTGGACACTTTATTCTGGGTTCTTTTTATTTTTTTTCCTGAGCATAGAAGTGTTAATTGCAGAGGAACTTCAGCTTGTAAAATAGCAACTACATTGAAGATTTGCTGTGATTACGTTTTAGCTTAAAAAACCTAGGGATTATTGTGCTGCAGTTTCTGGAATGTGCTCTCCTCATTAATTTATAGGTGGGCTTCCTCTGCCTGAGTATCTCTTTGAATATGATTAAGAAATTCTCAGCACACAAAAGAATGGGAGCTATGCACAGCTCACCAAACGTAATGCATGCGCTGGCTTACAGTTTTCATAAAACGTTTGCAACGATTTTATGTGCCAGAACTAGTAACATGATCTACTTTAGGAACTCCCTGGCTTTCCAGCTCTGCAGAAGTCATTTTTAGACTGTTCAAGGGCCAGATCCAAAACTTGTTAAAGTCGGTGGGAACCTTTCCACATTTCAGTGGGCTTTGGATTAGTCCCTAAGTGTTTTAACCAGAAGAATTGTACCAACCTCTCACTGCAAAAGTAGAACTATTCATCTATGTTCATATGATATAAACTATTATGTGTGCTTTCCAGCAGGATGTGAACTTGAAAATAGAGATTTAAAATAATATGATAGTTTATTCTGTAAACAGTGTTTCACTTTACTCACAGAATAATTTATCAGATGAATATTAGTTTCTGAAATTTTAAAGGGGAATTTTAGTCAAGTATTTCTATTTGAAAACAACAACTTTTCAATTGTAGACAAAACCCTAAGCTTTGTATGGCAAATTCCTTTTCTAAAATGCGATGTTTTCAAAACTTTTGACGTTACATAAATGGAAGGGGAATAATGGAGAAACATAACGCATTTCAAATTTTCTAGAAACAAAGTCACTGGATAAATGAACAACTGCCCTCTAAAGGAATAATTTAATTCCTCCCACTCATCTGATAAACAGATAATGTGAATAAGACCGATTCACTGCTCTCTGCTCAAGAATACTGTGCTGTTTGCTTGAAGCACAGCTAAAGTAACAATAAAAATCATTGAGGCCTCACTCTAGTCACAATCAGACAGAGTCTCATCCCAAGCTGGTGGAAGGCAGAAGGTTCTCCCCACTGGCTGAGCTGTGCTGGCAGCAGCTCCCTGCTGTAGTCCCTGGGTTTCAGCAGTGCCAGCCAAGCCAGGCAGAGCACCTGTGATTAGTGGGTGTGTGGCTGAAAACCTCCTAACACACTGCTGTGTGTTCTGACTTCTGCAAATATGAGCTTCTTGTATCCATAAAACCTTTCTCCACTGTTCTGCAAATTCAAGTGAACTTAAAGTGCTTAAAATATGACAGGAAAAGGGTGCTTCAGTTTTGGAAGGCTGGTAGAGGTATTACACATTCCCACCTGCCACGGAACTGAGTGGAAACAAACTAATGATTCCCTTGGTTCCCACAGAAAAATATTTAATTTATTAATAGCATTTCCCTTTCAAAGTTACTGTGCTTATAGACAAGATCAGAAAACCCAGTGTTTACAGAATCACAAGCACAACAGAATTTGACATCTTAGGAATTTAAAATATTTCCCATTTAGGGGGAATAGTGTCATACAAATCAGCAATAAAACTACTTGCTACCCTATGAACGTAAGTGGGTTCAAATTGAATTTAAATGCCTTACTTAATCCTCAGCCCCTAGAAAAGCATTATCTCCACTCATACGTATGAGAATCTTGATTACTATGATGAGAATTAAGATGTTCTGGATGTTTCAGTCATGTTGTTAATTGGATTTTTTTTCCCTTGTTACAGTTGTCAGAGGAACTAGTGAAAAAGGAAGAAAAAGCTGTAGCACTGGAAGGTAACAATGATAATCTATTGCATTGGATCTCCAAACATGACCATGATATCCTGGAGAAGATCACAGATGCAGAAAATGAGTGCTAAGGTTGATATCTAATGAAATGCTGCATTAATTAGCATTTTCTCCATTATTTCTTGTAGTCTATTAGGAAATCAGATACTTTGGAAAATAATGAAGGAGACTCAAGCAGAAATTATAAGATCTTCATTTCTGTCCTTAATGGGTCTTGTGAATTACTCTGTTTTTATAAAGAAACCATCTGTTCAGAATATAGTTGTTTCATGAAATTCAGTTAAACAGGTTATTTAGCTAATTTTTGGTAAACTAATATTGGTTTTAATAGGTAAGTCAGATTCCCTTAGATGTGGTATCTGCATTTGCTGATTTTACCTAGTCTATTCTAAAGTATCACTTCTATTGCACTAGATTATCAAAGAGGTATTAGTAAAATGCTATATAAGGGTGTTGGCATTAACTTTACCCCCAGTTAGATACAGGCTTTTCCAAAAAATAAAAACTAAGCCTTTACCCTCCTCTGTTTTCTTTTATCTACCGATAAAATAATTTAAATTAAAAACAAACCAAAACCAAATATTGATACTATAACCGGTATTAAGCTCTGGGCCAGGTTGGAAACGAAATCAATTTTTGGTACTAATAACTGATGAAAAAGCTTAGTTTTATGAAAATATGGTGTGTGTCTCTGACAATGCATAGGACATCTAATTTGAACATAAATATATGATTATATACAAGATGTATCTATTCCTGGATGGTAAAAGCTTGAGGTGTATATAAATACATATGTGTGTATATATGGACATGTACACAAGGATGTATCAACCTTTTACCATCCAAATGCATACATGTTTTCAACAATGAAAGCTGGGACTCTAAAAGAAAAAAAAACAAAAACAAAAACGAGATTGCTGTGAATACAGTATATGCACTAGGTCTCCTGTAAATGTGGAACTGTTTGTTATTCTCTACATTGAAAAACAGTCTCCAACATGGACCCCAATGAATCTTAGATGTTAAAGAAAGTACCAATGAACAAATAGCACTTGAAGGCTGTTTGTGTCAACAAAATGTGTCTAGCAAAATAAATTTAAAGCACATGCAAGGAAAAATAAAAATGTGAAGTCATTACATTCAGTGAGAGACTCTTAACTGACAGTCAGATCTCTACCACTTCTCAAGGAGAGGTTCCTTCTGACTCCTCAAACATTTTCAGTCAGTCTGGCAAACATGTGCAAATGTTTGGCTGTTTTGTTGAGGCATCTTTTTGTCCATGGAAGAAACACTTCCATGCTGATGGCAGTGGAAATAGAATATCTGCATTTTTAAAGGACAAACAATAAATTTAAGCATGGGTGGCCTTAATCCTTAGTAGTTTTTTTTGCTGCTGTTAAAAAAAAAAAAAAAAAAAAAAAAAAAAAAAGAAATTTAATGGATACTCCTAAAGTCTTGCACTGAATTTAGAAAATTTTTTTTTGAACCTGTGGTGCGATTAACCCTAAACATCCTACATGAGCCATACATAGTAATCCCCTTAAAATAATTGTCTAGAGATGATATTTTATTTATTTGTACCATGATTCTCGGTGCAATCAAAGAGCAATTTATTTGAGCAGGATTCCTGCTGTATGTTACTCTCTTCAGTAAATAGAATAAAATGTATAGAATTAGCATAGCGTAGATAATCTCAATTTCATTCATGTTTAAAAAGTTTGTCCTTTAACTATCAATGGCATTTTAGATCTTTGTTTTTGAAACAGCAAAGCTTTTGGGAGTATATTTAGCACATATGACAAATGTTGCACTTGGAAACTCAGACAACAAAACTGGTTTCTCATGACAAATTTGTTGTCGCAGTAGGGGACAATCGTCTGTGTCTCTTACAATCAGGTCTTTACCTTAACTCTGCAACCGAATACTTGAAGTAGGATATAAACTAGGGGGAAATAGGGTCACAGATACAAAGCTGTATAGTTAGATATTTATATGTATGTGCCAATTTTGTCACAGATATTATTTTAGGGGCATTTTTGCTCCACTCATGTTGGTATGAATATTGATCTAAACTTTTATCAGGGCCTAAAAGTCAGCCCTTAAAGAGGAAAATTTTGTCTAACATTGAGGTTTTATTTCTTGCTTTGTTTTGTTGGTTTTGGGGTTTTTTTCTCCTTCTTTTCATTTCATGTGATATTCTATGATGTTTGGAGAAAATCTTTTCATATCCTAAAATAGAATCTCGGGGTTTACAATAAACACTGTGATGTTGGGAAATATTTTATTTAAGCAAAGTTTGGTAGGTTTTTTTTCCTCCCCTCTGAGTGTAATGAAGCAAACCAACTTTTGCTTAACATTTAAGATAAAGGTAATTATTTTAATGTGAGATCAGTCTTGTACTGCACAGTCTTTCTTTCATTTAAATGTACAGTATGAATTTTGTATTTAATGAATTTTGTGTATCCAGTATGCACGTACCTGCACATTGACTTTCATTTGAAAGTGGGTTTCAATTTACTTTTTAAACAGTGTTTATGAAAAGACCTCAGATGTGTTGACACAAACTATATCCGCAATGTTTCTTTTGTGTGTGTAGGGTGACGTTTGAATGTGATGTTCTGCAGCAATGGGTCAGTATCCCCTATTTACCTTAGATCCTCATTTGATAGTGCTTCTTGTAATAATTTTTTCAAGTGAGTGGCATGTTCTGGATTGTGATATTGATATATGGTTAAGGACATTGATATGAAACTAAGGAATTCCTAGAAATTACCAGTGGGCATGTATTAGACAGTCATTGTAATTTAATGTCTTGTAGAAGTGTAAAGTACCAAGGTATTTAGAGTTCATAACATTGTTATCATGTGTATGGGAAGTATTTAGTGTTGATCAGCTTGTTTATTTTCATCAAATAAACTTTTTCTTTCTGAAATCAGTGTTGTGTCATTAAAAGCAGGTTTAATGACTGTAGGAAAATGTGTGAGAGATGTTTTCCACATGGTAAATCTATCACACTCCTTATTTCTCTAATTGCTACCATTCAAAGTAATTTATCTTCCTGTTGTTACTATCACATAAACTGTTTAAAAAAGCATAAAAAAGAAAATGTCTTGTAGGCCCCACTCCCAGAAATACTTACGAGCAACTTTACTAAAGTGAGGAACCATTTTCTGGATTGGGCTTTTAGAGAGCAATATGCTTTTGAGTGAGTTTCTAAAACATAATATTCTTGTGTGACCCTGTGTAATTGCATAGAAAATTACATTTTGTTTATGTACTTTACTGACCAAAAGCCATAAGGTGTGAAATTCTCTGCACAGTCAGCTCCTTTTTCAGCTGCCTGGTAAGTGGTTCCCCTTTTCCATTATGTTCACTTTTTTTAGAAAAGGAACTTTTGTTGACCAGGAATTTCTTACCTCATAGAACTCCCTGGACCAGCTCAGGGCACTCGCAGCAGGAGAATAAAAGGTAAGTAAGTATGCATTTTACTTAGCTTGTTTAAAACCACACAGTCTCTTAGTTTTAAGCTCTGTTTCTTTACCTATAAATTCGTTTTCTTCGTAAGAGTACTATGCACTAACATAGGATATTAAGTTTCACTTTTAACTACAGCTAAATATACATTTATTGTGTATTCTACTTATGCCTGCTCAGCTTTGAGCTGCAATGGTACAAATTGAATAGCAGTAGCTTCTATCTATCTATTCTTTCCAGACCTGCACAGTTGTTTGGAGCAGCTTGTTCTGTGTTCTGTTGGTGTCTGTATCAGGGGCTGCCCATCCCATTGGAGACACGTTTTTGATTCTATTTTCAATATTGATCACTTCCTGCTTCAAAGGCAGCTCCTGCTTCCCCAGCTGGTGACAGGACAGTGTGTGCCAACATGTCTTACTAAGGAGCTGGAGAGGACCACAGTGGATTTGGGGAAACTGTCAAAGGCACTTAAAGCCTATTTTCTGTAAGATGGTTTTCAGCAAGGATCTTTCCTCTGCAAAAAGCAGCTGTGAGGGCCCCAGGGGAAGGCAGGACTAGCATGTTTGTGTCTGTGGCTGCTGCAGAAGTGGGGAGCTCCCCAGAGGGCAACTCTGGGTGCAGGAACATCTCCACAAATGTTGAAGTTTGAGTTCATACAGTCAAGAGCTCCTCCAGCTCTGAGAGAGCCTGATTATGGATCAAGCTCTTCTGAGCTTGAGGTTTCCTCCTCAGAGAGGCTGTTTGTTCACTCCAGACTCGAGCCAGAGTAGTTCAAAGTTAGAGCAAGCAGTGGGGGATGCTCAGGGAATGAAGCGGTGTCAGCTTGCATTTCAAGCCAACACATCAGTTAAGACACGTTTTGAGAGTCCCAAACAGCTCCATGCCAGCACCAGTTGGACAAAGCTGAGCTCCTACTGCATCCCAGGTTGTTCACACTGTGCTCAAGGCCCAGGATTTGTTTCTGGAAGACCCTCACTAACCAGCACACACTGGGCCCTGCCCCATGCAGAAACCTGTCAGAAAGTACAGAACAGAGAAGGGCGTGTGTCACCTGTTGATCTTCCTTCTCCAAACCACAAAACTTTTAATAATCAAAGTATTAAATCATTCTAAATAAAGCCAAGTCAGCTCTAAATAAGTAATACATTTCCCATTATGAAGTCAGTGGGAGCTCTGCACGTCGCCAGGGCATGATTTGACCCACAGATGAAAAGTACAGCTGATGAGGGGCTGCTGTGCAGATTTTCCTCCTGTGAGATTACAGTGATGTTATTTTATGCTCATAACTTTCCAAATAAGATACCTCTTTTTTAAATGAACCTTTTCAAACATGAAGCAGTCTCTGCCTTCATCACAAATAGTCCAGGGCACATTGTTTTGCTTTTGTATGAGGCTGGAGGCACTGGTGCCCACCCTTGATGGATGCAGTTGCAGAATTGAGGGCTAATTTTGTTTGGGTTTGCATTCCTCCCACTCTTTGCTCTTGAAAATTACTCTTTCTTCAGAATGAGACTGTTCTAACCCCAAATCTCCACAGATGCAGGGGAAAAGCAGGCACAAGGCCAGTGCATCCTAAAGACAATGCACTGTATCCCTTTGAAACATGTCCTTGAATTTGTGTTACAGACAGTTGTCTATTCCCATGAAGCTGCAAGTCTCAGGACAAGGAGAAGAACTTTGAACTCATCCAGTCTCAAATGGAGGCGAGTGTCCAACTTGAAAAAGGCCGTGCTTTTGGTCCTCACCCCAGCGAGGCCAGGAGACAGCAGATGTTCTGGCAGCTGCAGTGCCGTGCGCCCGGGGAGCTGGGCTGGAGGAGAGCAGCCAAGCTCCCTCCAGATGGAGCAGGCAGGGAAGAGGCGAGTGGGAGGCTGCACAAGGAAGTTTGATAGCTCCAGATAGCAATGGACTGATGATATGTGGCTCCAGAGCACCTAACCAGCTTCGCAGGGGCTGCACAAGAGAAATCAGCACCAATCCCCAGCTAACCTGGCTTCAGGGAGAAGCCTTCTTGCCGTGGGAAAATCGATAGGGAGGAAATATCTGTGCAGAACACATGATAATGGAGCATGGTAACTACTTTTTATTTGAATGTAATTTGGACAAATGCATTACTCATAAGTGAGTTATCCAGGGCTTGCCAAATATGTGGTTAAACAGTTATTATAGCAAATTACACCATCATCTAAACACCTCTGTTTTGGCTCTCAGTTGTCTCCTTTTGCAATGAGGTCGTTTTTTTCTTCTTGATTATTTTGTCTAATATTGCTGCCTTTACTGTTTTGGTTACCATAGAAATAAATAATGACACAGACAACTACATGCATACAAGTGAATAAGAGCATTTTCTGAATATCATGAGTAGAATACCCTTGTTAATGAAGACCTCGATGGTTGCATAGTTCTTAACATAGTTCTCATGTCTATTGATTTGTGTCCTCATATGCATTTTATTATGGGCTTTATATTTCATTTTAAACCTCCAAAAATAAAGAAAAACAGCTGAAGTACATTGTTTTTTAAATGGCCAGATTTTGGTTAGAGGTTAACAAAGGCCAAAAGAGAACACAGATCTGCCCCCAAGCTCTTGCAGTTTTGTTTTGTTTTAATAAAAAGATCCTTATTACAATGCACAAAGGGTCACAAAAATGCGGCCATTACAGACCAGGAGTATTCCTTGTGCAGCTCTCCTGCCCTCTGCACCTTCCCCAGGCTTAGATCAACCAAATGTGTGAAGGCAGGACTGTTGTCACTCATGATAAGCACGTGCATTAAGGGGCTAATCCAAACTTTACTGAAGTGAAATGAAAGCCCATTGATTAAAAGTAAATTTCTGATTGTAACCCACTTTCTTCTTTCTGAAGCAAACGTGTACATTTACAGGAGCATGGGGCCAAACTGTTTCTTGTATATATCAAAATTCCAGCTAAATGTAAGTCAGATGAACGGCTGCCTGACTTTTTGAATGCTTTGTGATAAGAAAATAGATCTTAGATCTCATTAGTGAAGTTCATTTACAGTGTATTTTGTCTATAGTTGTCCTGACTGTGTACTTAGGCCAGCACTCAACTCCTACCAACACTTAACACAATCTTTCTTTATGGTGTCTTTACATTATGATCACTTATTTATCACTGAATTTGTTACAATTTAATGAATATCATTCGGTCCATTGGTTACTTTGCTATTGCTAAAGGTAAGTCTGCTATTGCCTAGAGGAGTAAAATGCATTTTTTTTTTTAGGCGTCTGTTTTCTAAAACAAATTCTGAGCAATCTTGCAGCTGGGGCTACTATAGGAGAAAGAAGAGGCAAAATCCCCCACCATAATTATTAACTCCCAAGACTGTCCATGTAGCCAGTTTCTAGAGGATTTGTTCCAGTCCTGATGCCATTCACCATGTCAGAGGTATGTTCTCTCTGAAGTTAAACAACCAGTCCCCATATCTGAAGGCTGAAGGTTGTAAATCTCCCTTGTGAATGTTGCCCATGACAGGGAAGGAAAGACTTGCATAATAACCACTTGTACTTCCTCAGAGAACATGAGCTCAAGTCTAAAGCAAGGAGTTTGGTCAATAAAACATCAGAGTCTGAAAACTACAGGAAAAGACCTGTCCAGCTCATATAATAAGAATTTTTTTCTTAGTTAAAAGAAAATTAATATTTCAGAGGAAGTCTCTTCCTCAGACCTGATTATTTTGCAGATATTCTTAATTTTTATTCAAGGTTACCATCAGTTAATGTAATTTGTAGCTAAATTAACTGAAATGTCTTACAATCTTTGTTCTCTGTGAAGCATAGCAGACTGGATATAGTTATTCTGCTAAAAGAGAGAGAACCATTTACTAAGCTGACTATAAATGTTATTATATTCACTAGTGTCTGTGAAACAGGTTACAAGTTTAAAATCAGGAAGCAGGAGAATCACCTTGTTCCCACGCTACTGGAATCAGAAGGAATTACTCTCAGTCCTTCTCCAGTGAGTGAGGGATATCAGTGCTTGGTATCTGGGGCTATAATTGGTCAGACAGCTTACAGAAGAATACAAGTACTCATGTGAGCAAATTTTTACAGGACTTAAAGCCTGAAATCAATTATAAATGCATTTGGGTTAATGTGAATGCTCGTGGTCATACTGGTACCTTTTCACAGCACTCCTTGTCCACATCTGTTTTCTGCATAGGTCACAGGGAAAGATCTGGCTTAAAATGTTTATGCATTGCTGCTCCTCTCCACTGCTTTTTCTACTTCCTGCGCTGCTTTGCACATTTCTTAACTCTAAATTCCCTCACACAGAATTTCCATATGCAGTCTTTGAAAGCTTCTTCATGAAGGAACCCTGTGATTCTTCAGTGCTTTGCCATCTTCTCTGGGGGTGCAGATGAGGCACCTAAGGTAGGACTGACTGAAATTAAGCACATGCTTCAGACTTGGATTACCCATGTGCCCTGTGCAGTATG